ATCCTCTAGTACCTGAATTATAAGTGACTTCATTTAGAGCCCTTTAGAAAGGGAAATTGTCTATGCTTACTAGCTCATATTGCTAAAGAGTGAATGTTCGCAGTACTTCTTACTTTATCTTTACACGTATTTTATCAAATACATAGTTTCTAAGTGCCCTTTCTCAATCAGTACTAGTATGAGTAGTATGGAAGATAGAACTGAAGCTATTTAGTCTAAACATTCTCTTTTTCTTTTTAAGCAAACATTTCAATATCAAGAAGAAGCTCCTGCTTAAAAATATCCTGCACTTTTCAGCATGTTTTACTCTGCACATGTGTGTAGTCTTCATTTTTACTTCATGTAAAGTGTTTGAGGTCTCATAAAGGTAAAAGTTTGTACCTGGGGTACAAGTTTGAGGTCTAGTAATTAGAACAAATCATTATAATCAAGCCCTCTTGAGTTTTCTCCTCTTCTCTGGATATATTTCTTTGTATGACATCCAACAAGACCCTTATGACAGTGATGTGCTCTGCGTATCTTTAAATGAGCATTTATCACAAAATTGTTTTTTCATACCCTCATCAGCTGCAGAGGCTTACATGCTTGAGCTTGCATGTTTAAACTGAGCTGTCACAAATAACGCAAAAGGGACATCTGTTAGAACTGGGAGTTTCTTAAGACTTTGCTTTCCTATTCAACTGTTTCTCCTATTGCTGTAAGTTACAGATCCAGGTTGAAAGAAATTACAAGAAAATAAAAAAAGAGAATTTCTATTCTCTTACCAAGAGAATAGAAAGGTGATATCTTTGAATGTTATCTAATATACCTCTGAATGCCTTTTAGTATACTAAATAAATCAATTTTATTAACCATAACTTCTCTTGATGAACAATAATTCTTAACTAGTGAATGTTTAATTAAAAAAAAAAAAAAGCCAAACCTGCCCCCCTCAAAAAACCCCAACTTAATTGGATGTCTTCTTATATCTTTGTAAATAATAGAATAATAGGATAGGGTTGTATTTATGTATGAAAGGGACCCACATGCAAAAGACAGGAAGTATTTCTTTATCCACAGTGTACTGCATGAGCTCCAAAGGGGAAAATGGTCCCATAAATTAATGATGTAGGAAGTATCTGCATAGGCTGCCTTCATAATTTTTTTAGTAAGAAGACTTGACTGTCACTTTAAACCTGCCCTCCAAGTGTTTTGGTGAGATTCAGAGGATGCAGTAAGCCTTGATTGTGTGTCATCTACCCAGCTCCCACCAGAAAAGATTATATTCCTTTTTGTGCCTTCTCATTTTGTTCAGGTCACAGCACTTTTGTGTTAGAGAAAATTTTGCAGTATAATTCATCCAAAAGGAAAATAGGGAATGTTCTTAGCCTTCCTGAAAGCCTTTGCTACGGTCTGTTCTCCATGAGGTGAAGGGTATTTTGTGCCTTTCTGTGCTGTAATGAGGGAGGCAATATGGCTCTAAATATAGATATCATCGTGAATGCATATGTAACGGAGTACAGTCACATCTGTCAAGCAGCTACTTTTGACCAGATATGCATGTTTGTTTTTCTAAGATTGCCATCTTTCTGTGAGCTAATATACTTAGCGTGAATTAATGAATTTGAGACAGCCACAGATAACATGTATTTCTTCATATATTCTAACGGTAATTCCTTAAGCAAAATGGGCAAGTAGTCTTTAAACAGGTGATGTTGAGTATTTGAACACAAATTCTAACTTAGCTGACCTGCAGAATGGACTGGATACAGTAGGAATCATATAACAAATCCCTCCATTTAGACAAAAAGATCCATAACTGGTGCCACAGAGTTCTTCATGATCTAAAAAATAAAACCAAAACACAGAGAAAAACAGACTTGCCTACTTTCATCAATAAAAGGAAATCTTATATTACAGTTTTTGTGGGGAGAAAGGAAGAAGGCGTGCTGTCTTTTAAAAAAAAAAAAAAAAAAAAAAAAAAAAAACTATGAACAAATAAGGAATCAGTCTTGCCTTCCAGGCCAACAGCATACAGCATTGTCTATCTTACAAAACTGGTTTAAATGCCATCCTAAATGTATCACCATACCAGATATCAAGCACCAAAATTATGTGAATAAACGTAAACAATTCCTTTTGCACTTAGAGGAACTTTTGAATTCCCCACTACGTTATTTCTTTCCTGCCCCAGACTATACTGAGCACAGTGATTCACATGCTTACCTTTATGAAGGCTGGTTTGTGCTGTTCCTGTGGCACAGACTGTCTTTAGCTGAGCTAGTTTCTGTGAGAGAATCAGGGTTAGTAGAGATAATCCCATGATATTCCCTGCTGTGGACCAGGGCATTCTGAGAGTGCTCTAGGCTGTATCAAGAATGGGATAATTGCCCAAGTAGACACTACCAGTTTTGTCCCAATCAACTGTGAACCCTGCCTGTTAAGTGTCACTGATGCAGAAAACTGCCTGTTACAATGTCATTTTCAACATTTTTCCCCCCCCAATATGCTGATACTATCAATTGTTAATGTTAAACACAGTAAGGTATTCTAATAAAATGTCTTGTATACTGATGTTGGCATTCATAAAGCCATTGTTTATTTTATGCTTAAATAGCATATCTAAATGCAAAACTTCACTGTTTAGAATGCAGTCTAGATTTGAAAGTTGGGCTGCATATATTTATGATGAGTTCAGTATGTCAGTAACTGAGTTCTTTTTAGATTTATATATTTATATTCAATCCTATTAAACCACTACCTCAATCAAAATAAAAATAGAACAGTCTTCTGACATCACAAGTTTGAGAATTATGTGTTACCTCACACCTTAGGTGTTGTTTTTGCTGTTATTTCTTACAGAAGTCCGGAAAATAAGAATTCAGCTGTCTCACTATTTTTAGAAGATGTGTTCTGTACAAAATAGTGTTTAAAAGAAATGAAGAATTTCAGTTTTTTACTTGTTCTCCAAGAAACAAAGTTGCTGTTCCCCTTTATTCTTAAAGGTGATGTGAAGTGTGGCTGTAAGATGAGAGGGCATTTATAGAGGCTCTGTGCATGAAGTAGAGGTGACACTTTTAAGTTTACTTGGAAAGCCTGGCTACTCCTAACCCTGTGCAATAGATGTTTTGTGCATCCTGTTATTGGAAAGTCTGTTCACATTTGACCTTGGTGCAGTGGCACAGGATGTGGCACAACAGAGAACTGTTTGGCCCTACCCTGTTAAGAGTTAAATGAACATTTATTTTAACTCTAAAGCTTTATGTGCTTGCCTGCTGGCAAATCATTTACCACAAGTTCACTATGAAGTCTCTTAAAATCATTTTGTGTAAGCAGCAATATATTTCCAATACGAATAAAAGAGAAGTACTTGCTGCTACTTGCAAAAATTACAGGAGTGACACACTACAGAGTAGAACACAGACTTAGGAAAGAAAATTCAAGTTCTTGTAACACTAGAAGAAAATTATTAATTACTAATTAGTAGTGGGTTTTGCTGTTATTCAATATTATTACTGTAATCCATACCTGCTTTACTTAAATGTAGTAGATTAGACCAAATGTGAAAGCTGTAAGTCTGTTATCAGCAGGGATGAATGAAAGTAACAGTTTATCCCTTTGAATTTATTGTTGATGACACTGAAGAAACATAACAGAGTATCAGAAGGGGTATAGTACAAGGAAAATCTCTATTGTAGCGGCATCAGGGAAGCCTGACTCCTCTGAGTAAAGCTTACGAGCTTATTAGGTACTCTAATATGTTGTCAGGAGAAGCTCATGTAACCAAACTTGCTATCTCTCTTTTTATTTTGATTCTATTAGGCCTGTTGGATAGGGAAATCTGTATTTGATTTGGAGAGAATGTGTTACTTTTTTTCATGAGTTAGTAAATCACTTTAAAGATACAATTGCATTTTTAGATTGGAAAGTCACATGTATATTATACTGACAAGTATAATCAAGATAGAAAAATTTACAAGTCAAGTGACAATTGTTAATAAAAACTTTCAATTAATACCTCTGTAAAAAGGCTGTTTTACATCATGTGTATTTTTCTTTATCCCTCTATTTGAGAGATTAAGTTTTATTGCTGACATCAGAGAGAACCTGAGGTCTTAAATAAGATTTATTTTTTTTTCCTGGTAACTTTAGGCTATGAATAGTTAAAATTGGCAGAGGTAACAGCAGCCTCTGAATACCCTGATTTTTTCAAGTATTTTTTTCTGAGGACACGCACAGAACCCTGACCCTATGCTATCTTGTCTGTTCCCAGCTAAACTTTTGTAACCCAAGTGTCCTTTCTTTTTTTAAGAAAAGAAAGCAAGCAAACAAATGTTCAACAGCACCTTAACCCCCAGAGAGCCAAACTGGCCCTGATAATCCATGTGTTGACTCAACTGTCTGGCCTTGTCCAGGGACTAAAATCCTATAGACTGCCTAAGCTTGAAGTCTGCTAAAACAAAAGGAGAGGGGGGGAATGTTGACTGAAGATAAAGGAGCTGCTTTGTGCTTCCTGACTTACAAGCGACTTGGGACTGTATGAAAATTGGTCCCAAAAGCCCAGATTTTAGGACTGAGCAAAGCAAACTTTCTGTGGAGAACCTGCAGCACTGGCTGGTGAGGACTGGTTTGGAAGATGGTTCCGTGGAGTTGTTGTGAAGTTCCCAGTGACAGATGGCGATCACTGTAACCTTAATGAATTCTACACACACACATGCACTTGTACCATGAGCAAAAATACTTGAAAGAAATTACCTGTTCGCATATTATTCTGGCAACAACTTTTTTTCTTGGTGTTAGAAGCTATTCTTCGAAAACAGCACCTAAAGACAAACACTTAAATTGAGTATGTCTTTATTAATCCTATTGATTTCTTCCCCCACCTCTGTTTTGACCAAGGAGATGTGTGAATGCATCATTCAGTCTTGCTGTTAAGGCATTTGTTTTACTTATGTAGCAATATCCTGTTTCATTACATCTAAGTTTCATTAATTCACAGCTAACGGCAAACATTCAAGTGTACTGTCAAGCTCAATGAACCTTTAAGAGGGCTGCTATGGATTAAAAATATACTATGACATGTTTAAACCATGAAAAACTATTCAAAATTGTAGTATCCCATGCTTTAGAAAATCTGCATTATCTCTCTGGCTAGCTAATTAAATTCTTTTTTTTTGCCTTGAAAATCAGTGCATGTAACAAACCAATCCTCAGAGTGCTGTAATTATACACTTGGGTAGGATCTTCATGGCAGAATTTTTCAAATAAGAATTTCCTGTGTGGAATTTCTTGGAGAGAATGAATGTTTCACTTGAGTGTTTCTCATCTCTGGACATCAGATTAAATTAGTAACCTAGCCTTACCAGAGAGCTGAACAGAACTCAGTAAGGTCTCGACTTGGGCAATTATTTTAAAAAAAAATGGAGTAGAACCTCTGGACAGAAATCCATCCTCACTGGACAAAGATAAGCAGAAACTGATTCTGTGGGCAGGCCACCTGAACCTCACTGGACAAAGATAAGCAGAAACTCTGTGGGCAGGCCACCTGACTAATTATCTACCATCACTATATTTTTCTTTATATGTACGGTATTCAGTTGTGTAGCCAAGGCTTACTAAAGCAAATGGGTCACTGAACACTGAGCAGCTTCTTGCTTCTCAATATTTTTCTATTTCTTAATTATATTTGAAAATGTACATGCTGTTCTTAAAACTTAAAAATAAACTCTCAAATATTTAATGCAAACTGTCCTGTATTGGAAGAAATGGAGAAATGCAGAGCAGTAAAAGAAGCCTTAATTCTTTCACCTTTAAAAAGGGATGAAGTATTTATTTTCCCTGTACCATCCTTCTGAAAGTTCTCTCTCAATTAGAAGGCTTTCAACCATCAAATAATAAAATAAAATTAATCTGTTTTACTAGAAGTAATTGTCTACCCCAGCCTTTAATAGAAAAGAAACTTTCTATAGATGCTTAATTCAAAAATGTAAATACTTGTACTTACTGTGTAAGCAGACCGCTCTGTTTTTCATGGGACCTTAAATGGCTTCTCTAGTTCTGTGTCCTGTCTATAGGAGAAGATCTGAAATGGCAGCTCCTGGGCTTGGAGCCTGTAGCAGCAAGGTCCCCACCCAAAGGCTGTCCTGCTCTTGGGCTGTCTCAGATACACAACTTGCCTTTCTTTGTGTACACAGCCAAGCGCAGCTAGAACAGCGTGTGGCACCAAGGAACGAACCAACGTGATTCAAAGCAGAATTAAACTCCTGAAGGTTTCGTTTGTTTTCTCCTCAATACATAAATCCTCCTGGGGTGCATATTTTCAGCAGCCAAGGTCTGGATTCCAGTGTACTACTAAAGCTTCCAAGTTGCAGGATGATATAGTGCAGTGTGGGTGAGGTTGTAACAAACACACACAGAGGCCAGCTATGGGAACACCCCATCATACACAGTCCTGTGCATATTTCTCCAGAATTACCAGCACTGCAATTTATAGTTGAATGCAAAACATTCACGTAATGCAGTTTATATAAATTGCATCATAAAAATTATAGGTTGTAGCCGAGAAACTCCATAAAACATCTGTTTTATTAGAGGAGTCCTTTTACATTTACTTTGTCATTTTCAGAATGTGCGACAAAACTACATACTATGTAATAGCTCTTAGAACAGAGACTAGGAGGTGTATATATAATAGTATATAAATAGGATATATAACCTAAATTTTTGACTTTATCAGATTGAATTAGGTTGTGTTCCCTCAAACTGCAAAAGCAACTGGATATGAAAGCCAAAAGGAGCTTTCCTAGCTCCTTTCCTTCATCTCACTGGCAGGTATGTATCCCTCCAGCTCAGGTGCTGCTGCTGGGGGATACTGAACCTTTTAATTAGATGATCAGATGACTGCAGAGAACAGGAGGCCCTGAGGAAGACTATGGGTCTGCTGTGTGGTCCGTTTTGTTTCCCCTCCCACACACTCAACCTTCAATTTGCCCAACATACCTGAAGAAGTAGCAGCCGGAGGGAGTGTGTTGTCTAGCAGAGAGGACAAATACTTCCTAAAAGCAATCCAAGGGGAAGCACATGTGTATGTGTGACTCCATTCTGTGTTTAAATTCTGATAATAAGTATTGCAATTTGAGGTTAAAAATAATATTTAGAAGAAACGTTGCTGACAACATAATTTTTAAAAAAGACTGGTAAGCAACTTGTTAGGCAGTTGTGTGTTTGTATGTAAATACTTTTCCCTGGAATTTTTCATTCTTATTAGAAGTTCAAATATGTATAACAAATTGGAGTCCTAAAAAGAATGAACTGGGATCTGCCTCATTAGAAAAATATGTTGTTACATTGGAAGAAAAATATATAGTATAAATTGTTGCTAAACCTTTTACTAATTTGTCTCAGTCTAAAAAACTAACTTGGCACTTACAACACCAAGGATCATTTGTGCATCTACCCAACATTTTCCATACTCAGTGGCTTATTCAAGACATGGTTGTAATACACGCCCACTGAATTCTATACTTGCTCAAGTATGTTTGAAAGATTAAAAAATTCCTGATACAGGAAGTAATCTGAAATTGAAAAAATAACTATTTTACTCTGTTAGCTTACCCTGAAAGAATTTTAGATGTCTATCCAAAGTATAGCCCTTTTTCAACAACTACAGTCTCAATAAGATCATGTTTACCCGTTTTTCTAGATCTTTGTCACCTGAACTGAAATTAGTAACAATACATTGCTTCAAAGATTACAGTACGTATGTTAAATTTGTCATATATTACACTGCAGTGATGCTATTTCAGAGTCTTCAATTACTTGAAAGTTCTGTGCTGCTTTATCTTCATATTCTGGGTCTGTTAAGGAGGGCATCAGTTCAGAAAAGGATTTAAATCGCATGTTTAGGATTAGCCATATCCTAGTCCTATTTACATCACTAAGTTAACAGTCTGTTCAAGTTGTTTGCTGAACTGGGCCTATGAAACATGAACTCTGTGCATGCCTGTGTGAATATCACGCTGAAGGCCTCAAGTATGATGAAAGTAACAGGTTACTGCTCTGTGCTGGAGAAACCATAGGTTAGAGTGAGCCACACAGGAGAATTCATACATTTTACTGCTTTTGGCTACTTGAGGATCAAGGGATTTTTTTTTATTATTATTTGATCATGGGAACTGCTAGTGGACTTCTGGCAGATCAAGGACTCCATGAGAGACAAAACTGGACTGAAGGTAGACGATGGGTTCAGGTCTTTAAAAGAAATACATGCTAGCTATATTGCCGTACTGGAAGCGGGGAAGAAAAATCTGAAGAAAAGACTTGTTAGATTTGTCTTTAGAAGAACCCATGTGCATTACTCCCCATGTCCCTCAAGAAACATGTTTGTTTTGTGCCTCTAACAGCTAGCTATTCTAAGCATCCACAAAATGGAGCAGCATCTCCAAAAGATGATAACTAGAAGTCTTAATGAGCACAGACAGATTAAGAGAATGCAGTGAGCAAATACTTGTTTTTATCTTTGCGATCTGAACAGTCTTAATTAACGTCCACATAAGCTCTCCCCCAAAATAAGATCCCTTCAATTACATGATTATTTCAAAAGTACACTCTTTTTTGTTTATTTAGATTATATTCCACCTAACAGCTTGGTTCAACAATTGGCTTTTACAGTGTTAGGAGTTCCTAAAAATTTTTAAGACAAAAAGAGGTAGAATCTCATTCTGTCTCTGATAAAGAATGCAAATATTTGTGTACTGAAAAAAAAGTATTTTCAGGAATAGGGCTAATTAAACTTAAATTTCTTTTTAAGATATGTCCCTGCTATCTATCAAGCAAACAATCTTCCATGAGCATTAGAGTAAAATGTGCCTGAAACTGCTTGAAAGAGGAGAAATTACTGGCCTATTTGAGTAGCTCATTTTTTCCTTTTTAAGGAAGAATGCAGAATGAAGGGAGTCTCCAGAGGAAACGGTGATTGCTGCTGTCTTTGCTTTACATTTCTCTAACATTCTTCCATGGAAGAGCCAAATAGTTAAGAGTTTTGAAGGCAAGACATAAGAACAATTAAGCAATAACCTAGCCAGATATTGAATTCATGTAAGTTTTCTACAAAGTTGATGTATGTTTGAGTAGTTTGCCTTTTTTTCTTAAAGCAGCCACAAAACAGATGTGGAAGTCTCTGCAGCAGCTTGCCCAGTTAATGAGCTGTATCCCACTACTGCCATCATCTGAAAGCTCAAAAGTTCACCGGTTCCTGGTCTCATGAGTGGCAAACAATACTGGTTTTCTTTCAGTACAGAATCCTTACTGTGATGTTTATGATCTGAGTACAAGAAGATCAAAAGGGAGGCAAGTTGCTTAGTGTGGTGGTAAGGACCAAAGGGATCCAAAGGGAGCTGAGTTGTGGCTGTAAAAGAACATTACCTCCCCTTTTTTGGCCAATAAAATCTCTTTAGGCATTAAGCATAGCAAAAATGCTTAAACTGCTCTGATCTATATCAGCTGTAGTCTTAATATGGGAGCTGAGCCTAGCTGCTTTTAGGTTTACATTAGCTACATACAAATCTTTGAAGTGGGAAAACAGTCAAATGACATATTTTAATACAAGTTTAAACAAGTGGTACATACTACACTTTTAAATATGATTAATTTCCTATTATACACATGCAGAGCACGACAGTGATAAATGTTTTATTAACGGGATATATAATGTATAAAACATAATACACTTGTATGTAAAGTAGCATCATAAAACTTTATAATCTCTATATAATGCCAACATTATAAATAATAGATTTGTTTCCTATAGATAACCCTCTGAAACATGTAAGGCACTTTGTGGAAGATCATTGTCCTTTCTGAAAAACACTGTTCAGAAAGAACAAGTGACAAATATGAAAATCATACACTACCAAAATTTTCTGTGAGAAGCCGTGTTTTTTTGACAAAACTTCCAATAATATTTGTTAATTAACAATCCTTTTTGTTTCCAGTAAATTCAGTATCTTTTTCAGTGCAAGTGCAACTGTGATATCAGGTACTGCAGACTTCCACCCTTGCTTACCTTAATCTTTCGAATAATAATCTACACTATACAGACAGCATTAAAAAATATTATTTAAGAGAGTAGACATTTCTCTGTTTCGTTCTGTACCTTCTTCGCACTGATTTGTGAATCAGGATACTTTGCTCAGTCTTAGAAAGTTAAAGGGAGATATTTTGCTCTCAGGTGTAGCAGTTTTTGTATTCCCAACTGTCAGCTGCAGAGAAAAGCTGGAAGAAGCACCAAACTGGAGGGAAAAGCCAACATGCTTGAGGGCAAAGCCGCCTTTCAGGAGAACCTGGACAGGCTGGAGGATGGGAATCAGGAGCCTTGTGTCATTAACTGGGTGCAAATGTGGAATTGTGCACATTTGTGGCATTTTGGAGAGCGGAAAACATGGGGACACAAGAGGAAGAGACATAAACATACAGGTGCTTTGGCTCCAGTGCCAGTTATTTTGTATTTTAAAAGGAGTTAACATATGTCAGGACTGTTACTGACACATGAACAGATGGAAGAAATGTGGCAAGTGGCACACACAAGCTAGATGCCCTGAAATAATTTAATTTGTTGTTTATGTATCTCAATATGTCCTGCAGTAATTTATTACAGCAGTTTATTAGGATGGTTAAATTAAGTAATATCTCTCTTTTTTTTTCCCTTTTCTAGCAACTCTCAGCTGCTACTGTGGAGCAAATGACAAAATTGTTGGTACACTACAGTGTGAAAGTAGTATTTAAATAGCACCTGCCAGAGACTGTTTCTAGTCCACTGGCCCACAAAAACAGTAATCACTGTCAAAAAGAAGAAAAATGAAAAATATAATCTAAAAAATAAGAGCTAATGAAGAAAATGGATATAATGGTCAAAGATGAAGCGACCTGAATAAAAACATCCTGCAGGAGCCATGAAGGCAGCTACAGAGGAGACCGATGGGGGTAAATGAACTTAACATAAGATCTGCTGTTGTTTCGGGCAAGG